GTCAAAAAAGTCATTACTATCTACATTATCATCAAATAACTTTTCGTCATTTTTTTCTGAATGATGATTATTATTATTATCATTATTTTGTAAACATTCAATCACTATATATCATTTTGCTTATAAAAAGAATTTACCCAACAAGAAATATTTCTCAGACCTGACCAGTTGAGAATACTATACACATTATCAACAGGTAATAAAACATTTCTGTGTCCCACTAATGTCATGCCTCTCTATTTATTCTCTTGCTGTCCTTCTCTGTACTTCCCACCCCAACCCCATTCCACACTGTCTTCAGTGTCCATAACTATTTTCACTGCTTTTATGCCCTCCAGTATTTTGATCTCTACCATAAAGTGCAGATAATCAGTATATATTAAGCGGATATATACAATATCTTTCTTTCATATCCTGGCTTGCTTCACTCAGCAATAGATCTTCCATATCCAATCAATTTCTTTTTTTGTTATTGTTTTTTTTTGTGTGTTTTTTGAGAGGTTTTTGCTATAGGGCGCGTGCGCTCGCCAGAAAGACAGAGAGAGACAGAGAGATAGAAAGCGAGAAATCACCCCTCAGGCAGGGTGGCCATGCCTCAATCCCTTCTCCTCTATTCTCCTCTCAGGATCTTGGGCACGCACACACACGCACCCGGCGTGAGTTTAAGCCACTGGGTCTGGGACTCGAACCGCAGTTGACTACATGGGAGTCCAGCAACATAGCCATTATGCTAACTACTGGTCCCTGTTATAGGACTTTCAAGGGACGCTTTTCTTAATCCCATTCCATTGTCCTCAACAATTGTGGACCAATGCGTTGACTCCATTGTGGTGAAAAGCTTTAAAAGATCCTTGTATTTGGGAATTTCTTTTAATCTCTTGTCACCACTTATTTGGTGAACCAGATCTGACTGTTCATTGTCAAAAGGAGCCAGGAGAACATAGAGAACAACACTTTTCAGGGTCTGTTGCCATTTTTTCACTTTCTGCCTGTATACAAGGAGTATCATATATTGCTCTGTAGTACTTACAAATAGACAAATAAGATCTCTCATGTTAATCCAGCTGAATCATTACATTAAATTATAGTGTTTCAATTTTAATTTATCTGTATTTTCTTCCTAGAAGAATGTTAATCTTGTTGCTGGTAATTTGTGTCCGAATGTAATCCTTCACAGCTAGACAGAGCCTCATCTGCTCCAGAATAAACTCCACTTGCTCTTTCTTTTCCATTGACCCATAGGTTTCCACCTGTAACACTTGTGAAATGAGACTGCCTCCTTCGTCACCATTTTGTTCTTTTATATTGGTAATGTTTTAGTCAGTCAAGCAAGCTAAATTTCAACATAAATATTTTCTTCTGTAATCATTTGTAGAGTATCAATTCATCAAAGTTTGACTGGAAGGTCTGTGATCTCTTCAATGTAAGTACAGCACTGTTGAACCATTTTTGCAACAGCTTGTTTTAACTAACTCTGCCTTTTTGATAAAAGCATAATATTTTCATTAAGTAAGTTCCATTCTTTAGCTTCATACCACATCTTCACTACTGCAACCAAGATATGGGATGTAGACACCATATCAGAACTGGTACTGATCTGCTTTTCCAAAAACAGGAGGGTTTTGATGATTTCTTGAAGTCTTCCTTGGCCAGCTTCTTGCACTTGGGCAGCTGCTGGTCTACCATGGTGCTATGGTCCACCTCCGTCTTCATGATGCACCCATCAGCCCTCTCCAAGCTGCTGTCTGCCCTGGTTCCTATCTAAGTGTCCCTTGATGTCTCCCTGCTTCGACCACCACTGATCACCCACACAGGAAGCCTGCCGGTGCTGGTACTCTAGTCTTTCTAAAAATCATGCAACTGAATGAAATTTTACACACCAAATAGCACTTGCTCCACTTCAGATCATGACGTGTAGATATGTGAGAAGTGGCAGGGTTGGGGTGATTATAATCCCTATAGGTGGGCCAGTAGAATATTTAAGTTCTGGTTCAAAGAAAACACATAACATCCCAAAACCTCATAATTTACCCACTTGCTGAAAATGAGTATCATTATCCTCCATCTGCCATCTTAAATGCACTATATAATTTATTTGGTTTTTATATTTATACATGGTAAATTTAATGAGTTTTTACAATAAAATTAAAAATTAAA